TGCCAGGCTGGAGTACAGTGGCACGATCTCGGCTCACTGCAACCTCCACCTCCCTGGTTCAGGCAATTCTTCTGTCTCAGCCTCCCAGGTAGCTGGGACTACAGGCGCATGCCACCATGCCCAGCTAATTTTTTTTGTATTTTTAGTGGGACTACAGGCGCATGCCACCATGCCCAGCTAATTTTTTTTGTATTTTTAGTGGGACTACAGGCGCATGCCACCATGCCCAGCTAATTTTTTTTGTATTTTTAGTAGAGATGGGGTTTCACCATGTTGGCCAGGATGGTCTCGATCTCTTGACCTCGTGATCCACCCGCCTCGGCCTCCCAAAGTGCTGGGATTACAGGCTTGAGCCACCGTGCCTGGCCTTTATTTTTTTTAGATAGATTCTCGCTCTGTCACCAGGGTGGAGTGCAGGGCGTGACCTCAGCTCACTGCAACCTCTGCCTTCCAGGTTCAAGCCATTCTCCTGCCTCAGCCTCCCAAGTAGCTGGGACTACAGGCACATGCTACCAAGCTCAGCTAATTTTTGTATTTTTTAGTAGATACAGGATCTCACTATGTTGTTCAGACTGGTCTGGAACTCCTGAGCTCAAATGACACTCCCGCCTCAAGCTCCCAAAGTGCTGGGATTATAGGCATGAGCCACCATACCTGGCCTCTCTGTTGCTTTCTAATGTAATTCCATTGTGGTCAGAATATGTATTTTGCATAATTTCAGTCCTTTTGAAATTTGTTAAGGCTTGTTTTGTGGCCTTACCATACAGTCTACCCTGGAGAGTATTCTACGTGCAATGTGTGCTTGAGAAGAATATGTATTCTACCATTGTTGTATTCTATAGATATCTATTATGTCTAGTTGGTTTATAATATTGTTCAAATCTTCTCTTTTCTTGCTGGTCTCTTGTTTTGTTAATTTTATTTATTTTATAGGGACAGGATCTCCCGTTGTTGCCCAGGCTGGTCTGGAACCGCTGGGCTCAAACCGTCCTTCCACCTCAGCCTCCCAAAGTGCTGGGATTACCGGTGTGAGCCAATGCACCCAGCCCCTTGCTGTAATTTTTTTCTTTTTTCTTTTTTTCCTTTTTTATTTTTTGAGACAGGGTCTCACTCCTTCACCCAAGCTCCAGGGCAGTAGTACAATCACAGCTCACTTCAGCCTCAACCTCATGAGCTCAGGTGATCCTCCCATCTCATCCTCCCAAGGACTACAGGCATGCACCACCATGCCTGGCTAATTTTGGTATTTTTTTGTAGAGATGGGAGACTGCTGTGTTGCCCAGGCTGGTTTCGAACTCCTGGGCTCAAGTGATTCACCTGCCTCAGCTTCCCAAAGTGCTGGGATTGCAGATGTGAGCCACTGCACCCAGGATACTGTTCTTTTTATCTTAGGCTTTGTTTTTTTGGGATGGAGTCTTACTGTGCCACCCAGGCTGGAGAGCAGTGGCATGATCTTGGCTTGCTGCAACCTCTGCCCCCCGGGTTCAAGTGATCCTCCCACCTCTGCCTCCCAAGTAGCTGGGATTACAGACGAACGCCACCATGCCTGGATAATTTTGTATTTTTAGTAGAGATAGGGTTTCATCATGTTGGCCAGCTGGCCTTGAACTCCTGACCTTTAGATCCACCAGCCTCAGCCTCCCAAAGTGCTGGTATTACAGGTGTGAACCACCATGCTGGATCATATCTTAGTTATTCTATTCATTATTGAAAATAGGATATTGAGGCTGGCACAGTGGCTAACATCCATAATCCCAACGCTTTGGGAGGCCAAGAAGGGTGGACCACCTGAGGTCAGGAGTTTGAGACCAGCCTGATCAATATGGTGAAACCCTGTCTCTACTAAAAAATACAAATATTAGCTGGGCATGGTGGTGGGGGCCTGTAATTCCAGCTACTTGGAAGGCTGAGGCAGGAGAATCGCTTAAATCTGGGAGGCAGAGGTTGCAGTGAGCTGAGATTGCACTACTGTACTCCAGCCTGGGTGACACAGCAAGACTCCTCCTCTAAAAATAAAAATAAATAAATAAAAGAAAATAAGATATTGAAGTCTTATCTATTCTTGCAAATTATCTATTTCTTCTTTTGTAACTGAGTACCCCTGTTGTTCTAAGAGATAGTTTATTTTTTTAATTATTTTCTCTTCCTTTCTCCTTCCCTACTGTTCCCTACTTCCTGCTTAGCACTTCAGAAATGCAAAGAGAGGGCTGGGTGCAGTGGTTCACACCTGTAATCCCAGTACTTTGGAAGACCTAGGTGGGGTGATCACAAGGTCAGGAGTTTGAGACTAGCCTGGCCAATATGGTGAAACCCTGTCTCTACTAAAAATATAAAAATTAGCCAGGCGTGGTGGCACACTCCTGTAGTCCTAGCTGCTGGAGAGGCTGAGGCAGAAGAATCACCTGAACTCAGGAGGCAGATGTTACAGTGAGTAACACTCCAGCCTGGGCAACAGAGTAAGACTCCATCTCAAAAAAAAAAAAAGAAAAAGAAAGAAAGGCAAAGAGAGGCCAGGTGAGGTGGCTCATGCTTGTAATCTCAGCATTCTGGGAGGCCGAGGTGGGCGGATCACTTGAGGTCAAGAGTTCAAGACGAGCCTGGCCGACATGGTGTAACTCCATTATCGGAGGGTGGTGGTATGCCCCTGTAGTCCCAGCTACTCAGGAGTTTGAGGTGAGAGAATCACTTGAACCCAGGAGGTGGAGGTTGCCTGGGCGACAGAGCAAGACTGTGTCTCAAAAAAAAAAAAAAAAAAAGGTAGCCTTTGACCCCTCCTTCACCAGGCACTCCTTACAGGGCAAGTTCCTGTAACTCCTGGAGAGAAAGGAGACAGATTTAGAGACCAAAGCACGTCCCCTTATGGGACTTTCACCTGGGAACTTCCACCCTCCAGGGGTTACCTGGGAACTCACACTCACCAGGAGGGCAAGTTAAAAGCGTGCCCACTTGGCCACTTTTACAACTTCTTCCCAGGAAAGTGCCAACTCAGCTGCCCAGCAGATAAGACATGAAGCTCACAGGGGAACCCTTGCCCTTGCTGGCTCTGTACCTTACCTCCTAAAAGTGCCCACTTTTTGTTCTAGAACTGAAGTGGCACATTTAAAGCCAGGGCACTTTGTGCCCCCTCCTCAAGCTAGCTTTGGAATAAATTCACTTTCTTTTTGGTACCAGACCTTGCTCATGGTAACTGGACCCTGCAAAGCAGCAAGCAACCAACACGCTTTTCAGATGCACTTTCAGTTCTGTCAGTTTTTCCTTCATGTATTTTATAAAGGGCTCTGTTGTTAAATATGTATGTTTATGATTATTGTATCTTCCAGATGGATTATTTGTATTTTTATTAGAAACGAGATTTCACTGTCTTGACCAGACTGGTCTTGAACTCCTGGCTTCAAGTGGTCTGCTCACCTCAGCCTCTCAAAGTCCTGGGATTACAGGCATGAGCTATCGCGCCTGGCTCTCAACACACTTCTGACACCAGATGTGTGAGGATTTCTCCCTCCCTGCAAGCAATCAGTTCTGTAGGCAGGCTGCTTCCTCTTTTGCCCTCTGGGAGCAGTGGCTCATATCCCAGCACTTTGGTACGCCAGGGCAGATCACTTGAACTCAGGAGTTTCACCCTGAGCAACAGGGTGAAACCTGTTTCTACCAAAAGAAAAACAAACAAGGGCCGGGCGCGGTGGCTAAAGCCTGTAATCCCAGCACTTTGGGAGGCCGAGGCGGGTGGATCACAAGGTCGAGAGATTGAGACCATCCTGATCAACATGGTGAAACTCCGTCTCTACTAAAAATACGAAAAATTAGCTGGGCATGGTGGCACGTGCCTGTAATCCCAGCTACTCAGGAGGCTGAGGCAGGAGAATTGCCTGAACCCAGGAGGCGGAGGTTGCAGTGAGCCGAGATCGAGCCATTACACTCCAGCCTGGGTAACAAGAGCGAAACTCTGTCTCAAAAAAAAAAAAAAAAAAAAAAAACACACACACACACACACACAAAAGTAGCTGGGCATGGTGGCACTTGCCTGTAATCCCAGCTACTCAGGAGGCTGAGGCAGGAGAATTGCTTGAACCCAGGAGGCGGAGGTTGCGGTGAGCCGAGATCACGCCATTGCACTCCAGCCTGGGTAACAAGAGCAAAACTCCGTCTCAAAAAAAAAAAAAGAAAAGAAAAAAAAGAAAAACAAACAAAACAAAACAAAATTAGCTGGGCATGGTGATACACACCTTGTGGTTCCAGCTACTCAGGAGGCTGAGGCAGGAGAATCACTTGAGCCCAGGGGGTGGAGGTTACAGCAAACTGAGATTCAGCCACTGCACTCCAGCCTCAACCACAGAGTGAGGCTCCATCTTAGAAAAAAAAAAAAAGTATGTAATTCCAGCACTTTGGGAGGCCGAGGCAGGTGGATCACTAGGTCAAGAGATCGAGACCATCCTGGTCAACATGGTGAAACCCCGTCTCTACTAAAAATACAAAAAATTAGCTGGGCATGGTGGCGCATGCCTGTAATCCCAGCTACTCAGGAGGCTGAGGCAGGAGAATTGCCTGAACCCAGGAGGCGGAGGTTGCGGTGAGCTGAGATCGCGCCATCACACTCCAGCCTGGGTAACAAGAGCGAAAACTCAGTCTCAAAAACAAAAAGTAAATGCAACCCTGTCTTCCCTGCTTCTGATCCTCCAGTGGCTTCTACCCAGGAATGGGCTGTGCTTCCTCTGGCTGACATCTATCATACAAGAAAGGGTGTGAGATTCTTCATAATGAGTAACTCCTGGTTACTGGATATATTCAAATACAGAGTTGCCTCCTTCTCATCCAGGCCACATGGAGCTCAGAGTACTGTTGACTTTAGTAGCATCTGCCACCCCCTTTGTAGGTTCAAGCCTCTGCCTTGGGAGAGCCAAGAGGACCCCTTGGACAGCAGCAATCGTCAGGAAGCTTCTGCACTTCACTCACCTTCTCTCCCAGCCATACCTGACTTCACATTTTCTCCTCCTCTTTTGCAGTCAATGCAGACCCTGCAGGACCTGCTCACTGATCTTCATGCACTCCAGGTCACCGCCAAAGCACTCAGGAAGGATGTGGACATGCTGAAGAACATGCTTGAGAAGGTTGTCCCTCCCCAGCATCTTCCTTGCCAGCTGCGACGCTCAGGCCATTGGGGGTTGGAGCGATGAGGAAAATCTAGGAAGCTTACTCTTAGGCCAAGAGTGCAGCTGTGAGGGCGTGCTCACGTGGTCCCTCCACTTGGCCAGTGCCACTGAGTTCTCTGTGACCCCTCCATGCTTCCTTTTTTTCTTTCTTTCTTTCTTTTTTTTTTTTTTTTGAGATGGAGTCTCACTGTTACCCAGGCTGGAGTGCAGTGGTGCGGTCTTGGCTCACTGCAACCCCTGCCTCCCGGATTGAAGTGATTCTCTTGCCTGAGTAGCTGGGATTATAGGCATACACCACCATGCCCAACTAATTTTTGTATTTTTAGTAGAGATGGGGTTTCGCCATGTTGGCCAGGCTGGTCTTGAACTCCTGACCTCAGGTGATCGCCCACCTCGGCCTCCCAAAGTGCTGAGATTACAGGTATGAGCCACCACACCTGGCTGACCTTCATGCTTTCTACCCCACTGTGTTAAGACATTAGTTATAAGTGACAGAAATCAAGTTCATTCTGGATTAGGCAAAATAACAGATTTCTTGTCTCATTTACTAAAAGGTCCAGGGATGGCCAAATCTAGGTACTCATGCAATGCTGATACCTCCCAGTGAGGCGTTCCTCTCACTTGGCTTCATTCTCAGGCAGGTGCTCCCCAAGTCTTGGCAATGCCAGCCTTGTATTCCACCAACTTAGAACAAAAGAACACCTCTTCCCCTTCTAGAAAGCTCTGTCTACACAGAAAGTGGAATAATCACAGGGCAGGCATGCATATGAGCTTCTGTAGCCAAAAACCATCTACCAAGTATGTTCTCACAACCTACCATGAATGGAACGATATGGAGTCCCTGAGACTTGAGGCAGCTTCCCCCGTCACAACTGATGAGTCACAGCTGGCAAGCTCTCCACATCCTCAGGTTTAACAGCTCCCCCCCAAATAGCACAATTTTCTGTATTATCCCAGCTTCACAGGTGGGAGCCTGTATGTGATCATCTTAGCAACTGTGGGAGCTTCAGTCATGGGCTGGATGTCTCCCAACAAAGCAGAAAGGGCACTGTCAAAAGCTGCATTATGAACTATTCAGTAGGGCCTCTTAGAAAAAGCTGTTAGAAAAACAGTGCCTTCTTGGCCTGGTCAGATGGCTCATGCCTGTAATCCCAGCACTTTGGGAGGCTGAGGCAGGCAGATCACTTGAAGTCAGGAGTTCGAGACCATCCTGGCCAACATGGTGAAATCCCTTCTCTGTTAAATATACAAAAATTAGGCAGACATGGTGGTGAGCATCTGTAACTCCAGCTACTTGGGAGGCTAAAGCAGGAGAATCACTTGAACCAGGGAGTTGGAAGTTGCAGTGAGTAGAGATGGAGCCACTGCACTCCAGCTCAGCAACAGAGTGAGAGTCTGTCTCAGAAAAGAAAAAGAAAAAGAAAAAGAAAGAAAGAAAGAAAAGAAAAACAATGCCAATGCCTTTTTGAGTTGTCTCTAGGAGATTTTTTTTTTTGAGATGGAGTCGCTCTGTCGCCCAGGCTGCAGTGGCACGACCTCGACTCATTGCAACCTCTACCTTCCAGGTTCAAGCTATTCTTCTGCCTCAGCCTCCTGAATAGTTGGGATTACAGGTACACACCACCACACCTGGCTAATTTTTGTAGTATTAGTGGAGACAGGGTAGTCTAATGTTGGTCAGGCTGGTCTCGAACTCCTGACCTGGTGATTTGCCTGCCTCAGCCTCCCAAAATGCATTTGCCCATTCAAGGCTCTGGGAAGTCCGGCAGTATATAAACCTGTTGAAATGCTTTATTTATTTATTTATGAGATGAAGTCTTGCTCTGTTGCCCAGGCTGGAGTGCAATAGTGTGATCTCAACTCACTACAACCTCTGCCTCCCAGGTTCAAGTGATTCTCCTGCCTCAGGAGAATCCCAAATTAGCTGGGATTACAGAATGTATACCACCAGGCCCAGCTAATTTTTTAATCTTTATTTATTTATTTATTTTTTGAGACAGTCTTGCTTTGTCACCCAGGCTGGAGTACAATGGCACGATCTCTGCTCACTGCAACCTCTGCCTTCTGGGTTCAAGCCAATTCTCCTGCCTCAGCCTCCCACATAGCTGGGATTACAGGCACACACCACCAGGCCCAGCTAATTTTGGTATTTTGGGTAGAGACAGGCTTTCACCATGTTGGCTGGTCTCGAACTATTGACCTCAGGTGATCTGCCCACCTTGGCCTCCCAAAGTGCTGAGATTACAGGCTTGAGTCACTGCACCCAGCCCTCTTGGAGATTCTTAATGTGCTTTTGCCCATTCAAGGCTCCAGGAAGTCCTGCAGTATAGAAACCTGTTGAAACCCTCCCCTCCCCTCCCCTTCTCTTCTTCCTTTTCTCAAAGTCTTGATTTGTTGCCCAGGCTGGAGTGCAATAGTGTGATCTCAGCTCACTGCAACCTCGACCTCCCAGGTTAAAGTGATTCTCCTGCCTCATGAGAATTCCGAGTAATTGGGATAACAGGCACATGCCACCTGGCCCAGCTAATTTTTCTATTTTTAGAGAGATCGTGTTTCACCATGTTGACCAGGCTGCTCTCGAACTCCTGACCTCAAGTGATCCACCCTGCCTTAGCCTCGCAAAGTGCTGGGATTACAGGCGTGAGCCACTGCACTCAGCCTGAAATGCTTTTTAGCCCAGCATTTCCCAAACTCGTTTGCCCATGGAACCCTTTCCCACTGCCTGGGAAACACTGGCTTTGGAACCCGTTCTTCCTCCTCAAGCACCTAGTCTCTTAGAGCTGCGGGAAGAGGCAGGGGTGGGACAGAACCTGGAGCCCCAAGCCACAGACTTGCTTCCCTTTACAGATACACCCAGAAAGAATGGACATGTTCGCTGAAGACTTCAGAATCCAGAACCGGAGGATGGTCGCACTGCAGCGGGAAGTGGTAAGGGCCACGATCCCTGCCTTCCCCTATTCTCCTGTGTCCTGGGTGCTGAGGGTAGGGAGGGGCAAGGAGGAGAACACAGCCTGGAAAGGTTTCTTTGTGGGTGTGGGGAGCACTGTCCCCTCCAGGCTCACACCCCTCATTTTCCGCCCCCAACCCGCAGGCTTCTCTCCAGAATAAAGTTCAAACCATCCCCAAAACTGAGGACATGGTGCTCTGGAGTGGCCTCCATGATGCCATGTTCACCTCGGTGAGTGAGGAAGGAAGGGGAGGTTAGCAGAGGGTTGGGGACAGCCTTGGGAAGCTGGGGAGCAGGTAGGCGGCAGAGAGTGGGAGGTGGGGCTGAGAGCCAGCTGAGTCCCTCTACCACCTCTTCTGCAGGAAATCAGTTCATCACCCTTGGACTTCCCCCGACTGTGGCAGTCTGTGGAGCAGCTCCCAGAGGCTGCCCTGGCCCAGACCGCCGAGTACCTTGAAGCTACTCGTGCCATCCACGTCGCCGAGCCCATCCAAAACACCCAGCTGCTGCAGACCGTCTGGCATTACGAGGTCCCAGAGCTCCTCCCAGAGGAGCCATCTGCCCAAGCAGCTTCACTCAGCAGTGACCAGGAGTCAGCGCAGCCTCCGGCCCTCACACCTGAGTCTTCACCTGGGCGCGCAATTGAATTTGCACCTGAGCCTGAACCCGTGCTAGGGCTGGAGCCGGAGGCTGTGCCCAGACTGGAGCCTGTGCCCGGGCCCAGTGTGACACCTGGGTTCTTGCCAGCACCTTGGCCTGTGCCTGGACCTGTGCCTGCCCCAGGAGCCTACCCCTCACCTCCAGGAGACTGGCCTGCACTCCCAGGACGCTGGCCTCTTCCCCAAGGCTTGCCTGAGCTGGGCTCTTGGCCTTTCTGGGACTTAGGCCTCCTGCGGCCACCTCAGCCCCAGCCCTCCGGGGCCCCACAGCCGGCTACTGAGTTTGGCTTCATGTGGCCTCAACCACTGCAGCCATATCAGTCTCACCAGGGAGAAGCCCTCCAGGTTGCAGCTGTCCAAGAAAAGGGGGAAGAAAATGATGTCCCCAGCATGAGGAGCCCTCGGGAGAGGGCTCGCAAGGATGGGCACCCTAAGGATAGAGCTCGCAAGGTTGGGGTCCCCAAAGATGGAGGTGGCAAGGACGTGGCTCCCAAGGATAGTGGTGGCAAGGATGGGGCCCCCAAGGAAGCACAGCCTAAGACTCCCCAGTCTGCTCTTCACCGGCTGAAAACCACCGCTGCCATCGCCGCCGCCGCTGCCGCAGCCTATGCAGCCGCGGCATCCTCTGCTGCCCAGACAGCCAAAGTTGCTGCCAAGGTTGTCAAAGATGCCCCAGCCACCAAAATGGCCAGCATTGCAGCAGACATGGCTTCAGCTGGGCCCCTAGGGGTCTTTGCACATGTCCTGGGTGCAGGGCCTGCCCGGGGAGCCACAGAATCCCAAGACGCGGACGATGATTCTGAAATCCTCTCTCCCTCCTACTCTGCTGCCAGCATCCGTCCTGATTTAGCCCTGTCCCAGGGCATGCTGGCTGCCAAGCAGGCCACGAGCCCTGAAGACAAGAAGAGGGCTGTCAGGTATTCCATGAGCCACATAGCCCAGATGCCCGTCAGACACGACTCCCTGAAAGAAGAATTTGCCCAGCTGTCCTTTAACCTGAACCAGCACTTGACCCGTCTAGGTAGGCCTGGTCTGGCTCTGGGAAGGGAACAAGGGAGTGGGGCCCTCTCTTGTAGCCTTTGAGAAGCACCTCCTGTCCTTCATTTGGCTCCACCAACAAAATCTGCATTCCACTATTAGCCATTCATTTCTTTGGCTTAAGCATTTTGCTCTTAAAAGTCTATTCTGTTGAATGTACAGTGAGGTCTTATCTTAGGTCAGAAAGGCTGTTATAGTTTAAAGATGTCACTTGAGAAAAATGGCATGTCAAAATTACTCTCAAAAACTCCTTTGTGATAGTCCATAACACAGTATTGTATTGGCTAAGCGTGGTGACTCATGCCTGTAATCTTAGCACTTTGGGAGGCCAAGGCAGGAAGATTGCTTGAGCCTAGGAGTTCAAGACCAAACGGGGTAACATATCAAGACCCCATCTCTAAAAAAAAAAATTGGCCGTGTTCGGTGGCTCATACCTGTAATCCCAGTACTTTACGAGGATGAGGCAGGCAGATTACGTGAGGTCAGGAATTCGAGACCTGGCCAACATGTTGAAACCACATATCTACTAAAAGACAAAAGAAATAGCCGGTGTGGTAGCGGGCGCCTGTAATCCCAGCTACTCAGGAGACTGAGACAGGAGAATCACTTTGAACCCGGGAGGTGGAAGTTGCAGTGAGCCACAATCGTGCCACGGCACTCCAGCCTGGGCAACAGAGTGAGACCCTGTCTCCATACAAACAAACAAAAACTTTTATTTTTTATTTTTTATTTTTTTGTTTGTTTTTTGAGACAGAGTTTCACTCTTGTCACCCAGGCTGGAGTGCAGTGCTATCACACCTGGCTAATTTTTTATACAAAAATTAGGCTGGGCATGGTGGGGGGCACCTGTAGTCCCAGCTACTCGGGAAGCTGAGGCAGGAGAATCACTTGAGCCCGGGAGTTGGAGGTTGCAGTTAGCTGAGATCACACCACTGCACTCCAGCCTGGCAACAGAGCAAGACTCCGTCTCAAAAAATGATGTAATAAATAAGGAGATCAAGACCATCCTGGCTAACACGGTGAGACCTGTCTCTACTAAAAATGCAAAAAATTAGCTGGATGTGATGGCACGTGCCTGTAGTCCCAGCTACTCAGGAGGCTGAGGCAGGAGAATCGCTTGAACCCAGGAGTGGGAGGTTGCAGTGAGCTGAGATCGCACCACTGCACTCCAACCTGGACAACAGAGTAAGACTCCGTCTCAAAAAATAAAATAAATAAAATAATAATAAATAAAGTGACATGAGCGGAAAGGCCCAGTGCATTTCCACTGGGCAGTGCTGCCTGAGATGCCCCGTAAGAGAAGCAGGTAGAGTCCAGCAGAAACATCTTCCTCCATCCCTGCCCCCAGCAGCCTCCCCATCCTCTGTTTTCAGCCAGTATGGGAGGCCCTTCCAGGCTTGGGGCAACAGTGGACATATTGCAGGAAAAGATCGGCAGCCTCCAGAAATCCAGGCTTAAGGTCAGTGTCTCTGGCGAAGTGCTTTTGAGGCAATGATGGCTTGAGGTGAGCTGAAGGAAGACTCCTTGGCCCCTACCACCCGCCTCCACCCTCCTAGGTACAGCTGTGTCCTGTAGCAAAAGAGGCTGGGGGGAAGCGGGCCAGCCACAAAGGCAGCTGCCGCCTTGCAAAGCCGATCCACTTGTGCTGGGGAGCCGGCAGGTGCAGGGCTGCATGGTTCTCCTGTTTCTTAGGTGGCTATTAAGATAGATGGCAGGTGGGGCCGGTGCAGTGGCTCACACCTGTAATCCCAACCTTTAGGAGGCCAAGGCAGGCAGATCACTTGAGCTCAGGAGTTCCAGACCAACCTGGGCAACATAGTGAGATCCCTTCTCTAAAAAAAAAAAAAAAAAAAAAAAAAATAACCAGGCATGGTGGTGTCTGCCTATAGTTGCAACTACTTAAAGGCTGAGGTGGGAGGATCACTTGAGCCTGAGAGGTAGAGGCTGCAGTGAGCCAAGATCACACCACTGTACTCCAGCCTGGGTGACAGAGCAAGGCCATGTCTCAAAGAAAAAGAAATGGCAGTTGGGAGGCACCCTGGTCTGATACATTCATTTTTTTTTATGAGATGGATACTTATTCTGTTGTCCAGGCTGGAGAGCAGTGGTATGAGCTCACTACAACCTCCGCCTCCTGGGTTCAAGCAATTCTGTCTCAGCCTCCCAAGTAGCTGGGATTATAGGGGCCCGCCACCACCCCTGGCTAATTTTTGTATTTTTTGTAGAAACAGGGTTTCACTATGTTGGCCAGGGTGGTCTCAAACTCCTGACCTCAGGTGATCCACCCTCCTCGGCCTCCCAAAGTGCTGGGATTACAGACGTGAGCCACCATGCCCAGCCTAGTCTGGTACATTCTTCTTGGCCTCACCCCTCCCTCAGGCCCCTTCCCAACCCAGCCTGGTGACCTGGGAAGCAGAGGCCTTGAGTGTCTGTGTCTCCCCCTTTTAGGAAGAAGAACTTGAGAGAATTTGGGGCAATCAAATAGAGACAGTGAAGGATCACTACATCATTTTGGACAAGGCAGTGGAGAAGCTACAGATTCGAATGGATGAGTTCAAGGTTAGAAGGTCTGGGCAGGCTGGAGAAGGGTTGGCAAGGGGAAAATTCCTCACCCAGACCTTCAGACCCTTCCTGAAGGTTCTGCACAAAGTGGGGATGCCCTTGAGGTTGGGAACCAGAGGGACTTCACTGGCATTTTACTGTGTGTAAATTACACTTCAATGAAAAGCAAACGAATCTCACCCCCCACCCCCATATAAACAGAAGGGCCTGGACAGTGTTTATCTTTTTCATCATTGTGTCACCTGCTCCTGGAAGGGGAGGGGTAGTGAAGGCTCCATCACATTTGCTGAATGACTCAATGAGTGATTAAGAGAATTTCTTGTATCAACTGTTATGTTCTTAACATTTCCCTGGGCAAGTGGTAGAAATGTTTACTGACATTTTGGGCTGGGTGATAAAAATAAAAAACAATAATAAAAGAAATATTTAGGCTGGGTGTGGTGGCTGGCATCTGTAATCCCAGCATTCTGGGAAGTCGAAGTGGTAGGATCACTTGAGGCCAGCAATTTCAGACAAGTCAGGGCAACACAGAGAGATCCCATCTCTACAAAAATAAGAAACTAGCCGGGACTGGGCAAGGTGGCTGACGCCTATAATCCCAGCACTTTGGGAGGCAGAGGCAGATGGCTTACTTGTCAGGAGTTTGAGACCAGCCTGGCCAGCATGGCTCTTCTTTTTTTTGAGAGGAGTCTCGCTCGGTCGCCTGGGCTGGAGTGCAGTGGCACGATCTTGGCTCACTGCAACCTCTGCCTCCCAAGTTTAAGTGATTCTTCTGCCTCAGCCTCCTGAGTAGCTGGGACTACAGGTGCATGCCACCAACACCCGGCTAATTTTTGTATTTTTAGTGGAGACAGGGATTCACCATATTGGCTACGTTGGTCTCAAACTCCTGACCTTGTGATCCACCTGCCTCGGCCTCCCAAAGTGCTGGGATTATAGGCCTGAGCCACCTCACCCAGCCAAACCCCATCTCTTCTAAAACAAAAATATACAAAATTAGGCCGGGCGCGGTGGCTCAGGCCTGTAATCCCAGCACTTTGGGAGGCTGAGGCGGGTGGATCACGAGGTCGAGAGATCGAGACCATCCTGGTCAACATGGTGAAACCCCGTCTCTACTAAAAATACAAAAAATTAGCTGGGCATGGTGGCACGT